CTGGACCTTGGTGCCACGATGAGGTGGCCGACATCACCAAGGCACTCCACATGTAGACTTGAATGTCTTCGAAGCGTGTCCTGGAATCTCACTTTGGCACTCCTGTTTGCCAGAAAATGAGACACCCAGCGAATGCGATTGGCGCCAGCCCCTTACCACCTCATGGCTGCGATGGCACAACCAGGGCCCACAGAGCCAAAGACCCTGGCGCAGCGAGCTGTAATGGCATGGAGCTTCCCCTTTTTCTGATGGTATATCGTGGTGCGCCGGGCTGGGGTCAGCGGTTTCAGTGTGGAGGGGGGGGGGGCGAAAGCCAGCCTGATACGGAAGGGTCTTGGGCCCCGCTGTTGCACGGGCGCGGCCTGCTATGATGTGCCCCGTCACTTTTGACATGCCGGTGGTGAGGGCAATGGGCCTAAAGGCACTCTGCCGCTCGCTGGCCTTCCTGCCTCGAGCGGTGGGGTAACAACACCCTTCTTCCAGGACGCGGGGCCATTTCTTCCTCCTGAGTGGTTTGGGAATGGGGGAAAGTGGCCTCAGCCCCCCAACGGGAAGGCGGCAAAGCGCTTCGCAGCGCAGCGGGCCAGGGCCAGGGGCGGCCCCCACGCGCATTTCGCACACGGCAACTATTTATCCGCACCTAAAGGTTTGAATAGGCGGCGGGTGCGGCAGCGGTGGCGTGCGCGGCTTTGGGGCCATGGCGGGGCCTGGCCGGTCTCGTGGCGTCCATTTCACTGGGCGGATCTGCATGTTTTTTCCTTTTTTGTGTGGGGCTGCTTGTGCACCGCCATCGCTGGTTTGCTGACCGGGAGGTAGGCATAGGCGCCTTCCACCGGACGCCGGCCGGTCTTTCCTGTAAGCCCGAAGCGAAGGCACTAGCTGTGCCACGGGGAGGCTATTATTTCATGGAATTAAAGGCGGCTGTGCTTTTTTGGATTGTCGTTTTTCTCAATTTCTTCGCTGAGGGCTGTCAGCTTCGGCGTCCCAAAAGAAGGGGGGCATAGTTACTTCGTGGGGTAAACTGCGTTTGCCTGTTTTGCGGATGGTCGAGAAGACTTTTATTAATTTAATGGTGTATTGTGATTTCTCTGCGATCACCAGTCGGGGTACACAGAGGTTTGTGGATCAGATAGAAGCGTTCCGAGCGCCAGCGCTTTCGTTGTTTCCGTCGTCCGCGTTGTGTGACCTGGAAGCAGCGATCCGCTTTGTTACGCATGTAGGTTTCTTTCAGAATGATCTTCCCTTCCCCCCCCCCCCCCCCCCCCNCCCCCCACTCCCCACGCAGTTCTGGACACATGTACTGTAAGCGGGGGCACCGGAGCTGCGTCATGCGAAGCAATTTGGCAGCCACCGATCCACCATGAGCTCACCTTCTGTTGTGGCTGGCCACGGGGCATCCCGCAAATGGTTATAACAATTTGAATAAAGAATAAAAAATGTGAGGATATTGTCACCCAGCCCCCCGCTTAGCAGCGCGATTCCACTCGGAATGGCCTTTCTGCCTTGTGGGAAATGCCAGGCTATGATTCCTAGCCGAGGTTGGCCCGGAAGAATCAGTGGGACTGTGGCCATTTTCGGACACTTCCCCGACCGTCGGCTACCAACGAGCACGCCATGTCCCTCTTTTACGGGGATGAAGGCTCCACCACTACAAGGAGATCGATTTGACCAAAGTGTTGAAAGGATTTTAAGCTAAAGCAGCCGCACTCGTTATCAGCGAGAGGTTCCCCAACCAGGGCGCACAGCCAAACAGATTCATCATTTAGCCACTTCTCCAGGGCGGTTCCCCCCACCCGCGACAAGCCGCCAGCCTTCCACTGGGAAATCCGCAGAACAGGACCCAGATTCAACCCCACACCCCCGCGCAACTGGAGAAGCTTCCAGCGGCGAATCCATAGTGCAAGGAATGCCGCCACCAAATGCCTGCAACAAGTCGCAGAAACTAGTTGCTAGCACTTCGTTTTCCGCTTTGCGCGGGGCTATTCCTTGCCGCCGCGTTGGGGTTTCTGCCTTGGCCAGGATGGGCGGGATTTCAGTAGACCTACGGGTTTCCCAGCTGCGTCGGAAAGCGGAGGCCGAGACCGTGCTCGGCAACGGCTGCTCCCGCATGGGAAAGGGCCTATCGTTGTGTGGGGTACGTGGGCATGCTGCTGAAATGAATAGTACTTTTCATTGCCTTTTTTGTGATGATAGTTAATTCTTTGTCCCAACCTACACCTTTTACGAACCGTGCGCGCCATTTTTTTTCTGGAAGCCTGCTAAAGGAATGGTCAAGCCTTACCCAGCTTGTTAATAGGAGATCCTATAATCCATCATCATTCTTCTCTTCATCTCTTGCTGTACGAAAGTGTCGCAAAGTGTAAGTTTTGAAACGAAAGGTAAGTCCTCAAGTATCGCAATGCTATCCACCACCATCC